CCCCAAAACCCCAAAACCCCTTGAGCAGATATTTGCATGCAATATTGAAAAAAATATTATATAAAATCTATAATAATTAATGAAATTAAGAATTTTATATTAAAGTATAGTCTTGAATACTCACTCTTATTTGTCTAAATTTTCTGCATCTTCAGGTATCCATAATCGCTATCTCTTTGGATTTCTTAATCTTTTACGTGCATTGCCTATGAAATTCTTGATGACAAGCTTTGCACCTTGAGAAATCGCTTTTATTTTGTTCTTTCTTTTTTGCAGTCCAATACTATCATCAATTGAATCATCAACTTCGTCAATTTCATCATCATCAATATTCGGTATTTTGCCAGTTTCTTCCTTTACTTTAATTTGCTTTCTAACTCTTAGATGGAATTTTTCAATAGCAGTAGTACAGTCAATACATATTGTTCTAATAGATGCTTTTCTCAAGAAGTATCTCTACCATTTTAAAATATCATAATTCACTAGATCCTAATTCTTGTCTTTCAAGAATTCATAAAACAGATCTTCTATATTTTATATCAGTTCAGCCTTGAGTCCAAATGTAGCCTTGCAATACAAACAGTTTTTCTTGATTTAGGAATCTATCATTTTGTTAACCTATATTCTAACTTTCTACTTCATTCTTGCTCTTAATATCCAAAACCTGATTATAGCCCTTGTAGTAGGAACATCGTTCGCTTTGACCCAGTCCAGTTCCTCTTATGTGGGAACGAATTTCTTCTTCTTTTTGAAAATTTCCTTTTGCAAATCAGCTGAGTTAAGAAGCAAACTATCTGTGTTATCTTGCTTGGACTCATTTGAATTTTCTGAATCTAACGAAACATTGGGTTAAATGTTGCCAAGCACCTTCTTAAATTGATCGATAATATCTTTCCTGTACATAAATAGAGTTCTAGGGGTAAATACTTCATACATTTGCTCTTATATCCATGGCTTATTATACTTCATAAACATGTCTCTGAAAGTCTATGCTATCATTCTATCAGTCATTAAGTCTATTTTATTAGTCTCTTCATCTAACTTGATTCTGTCAATTAATCGCCATTTCTTCGGATCAAATTTCACATCGTCTGGAGTATCCTTATTTCCATTCATATTTTTGAACTTTTCTGGCTCCAAAATACGATTGAAAAGTAGAGCTATTGACATATCCTCATCTTTTTTTTCTAGTTTTTCCATAGTTTCATCAATTTTCCAAATCTTCAGAATTTTTCCGAAGAATAAACACAACCTATGAGTTACAATGCATAAACTCATCATGAAACCTACTAATGGAAGAGTTCCGAAATCTCCGAAAATGTTATATTGTTTCTCCCAAAGTAAGATTTGAATGCCAAGAAGTAATTAAGTAATTCCAGATACATAAAGAGTAACGACGAAGAAATATTAGGATGAAAAGCAAAGCTAATCCAAGGATCTCAGAGTTTCCTCAATATAAACGTTTGTAGTGGTTTCATTACCCTTCCATCTAGTTTTTCTTGTTTTAAATCTGAATGCCAAATAATCTAAGTAATCATGCACAGGGAGATCATTATACCATTCCAGTATATTATGGAAGAAAATATCAATAGTAATTTGGAAAGGAATAATGACGATATTGAAAAGGAAATAATACACGAAATCCTGAATTTTAATTCCATAAAGGTTTGCTACAATTGTTTCATCATAGAAAATCCAAAGTAATGCAGTAAAGAATGGTTAGTAGAGAAGAGAAAGTGTATCATTAGCATAACCCACAAAGCAATCGAGTAATGGTTCTACAAGTTACTGTTCAACATCCTAATCTAACTTGATATCACTCTCATTCGCAGAATCGTCTTTTCTATCTTAATATTCATCAAAATCTTCAAATTCTTCTTCGTCCTCCTATTTCTCATCTTCTTCATTTTTCTTTTCGTCCTTAATTTGCTCCTTTGATTTCTTAATTTTCAATCTTAATTCTTTGATCTCTTTTGAGAGATCCACTGATGCTATTTCAGACTGATTCATATCATTTTAATTCAAAAGATAGGCGTTTGGATTATCATCGAAGACATCTTCTTCATTTCTTGAATGAAAACTACTGTCCTCAGAATAGTAAATTTCTGACCTAGACGATTCTTATGAATCTCCTTCAAACATGAGTTTTTCCTTCTTTTATCCATCTTCTTCCTCTCCTCCTTCATTCTGCTAGCTCATAGCAGTTCTATCATTATCATTCGTTTTGTTTAGATCTTAACCCTCCCCATCTTCTTTTTGAATTGTTTACACTTGCTTTTTATCAGCTAACTCATCTTCATTTCTTATCCATTTAACTAAAGATGTGTAAACTAGAGGAATTTTTTCTTCTAAGTAATCCTGAATCACTCCAACGATAGGCTCAAGATAGGGTCTTTCAAACATTTAGATACCGATTTCAATAAAAAATCCATTCAAAAAGTCCAAGAAATTTGAAGCTCCAAAGGTAATAAGACCCTACATAACACCTATGCTCACAGATAAGGGCGATACTAGCAGGGCTTCTTCAAGACATCTTTCTATCAAATTTTCAGCTAAAATCTATACTATTTTCATAAGCCCAATCATATACCAAATGTTATCTCCATAAGTGGGGGAGAAGGAAAACTAAATAATTGCCAGCTCAAAAAACAAAAGGAAGACTGAGACGAATACCATATTACTTCGTTTCCATGCATAGAATTCCCAAACATTTCCATCAAAAGCTTCTGGAACTCTATTATGATTTGTCTTATCTGGAATCAGAATTGTCAATCCCACATATATGATATAGGCGCCCATTACGAGGAATGATGTACCGCATCTTCCTACTCTTAATGATTAGTAATCAACTTCAACATTATTTGGATCATCTTTTATGTTATCGAACAATGTCTTGATACATTATCCTGCTCCAGTTGCGTCATCACAAGGATATAATCTAAATGAATAAATAAGAATTAATTATACGAGGTGTCAATCTGAAAGACATGTGCCACAATGAACGCAGAAATAAAGAAATTTCCTGCAGTAATAGGAATCATAGCCAATACGATGCCCCACAAGGCTGGTGGAATAGTTAGCTTTAGGTAACTTATAAACTTAAACTTTGCTAGAGTTTTACCTGGTGATGGTCTGCATATCAATCTATGGTAGACCATAAATACAAATACATCAAACACTGCAATCATTCCTACAATAAGATAGAGCACCACATAAAAATCCCATCCAAAGGCAAAGTTGATAGTCAGATCTTAATGAGATAATGGCTAGAATGAGAATGTTAGTTTGTAGCTAACTATCTCTGCTCCAGAGTTTTCTGCCTCTGTTAGCTCCTCAAACTAGTCATATAAAAGCTCTGCGATAATAATTCTTTTCAATGATTCATCGACCTGATAATATGACAATGTTAGCTAGATTTGTTTAGGAACTAACCCAGAAAAGTCTCCTTCGAACATAGGAAATACATTAAACACTTAAGTAGAATCAAAGTCAGCGTCCACTAAGTCCTCAAATAATGCTGGATTGACAGTTATATCAAAGAGTGGAGTTTATGCTTCTATTTCAAACCATCTTTATAAAGGCTAATTTGTGTCGAAAATTTCGTCATAAATACAATCTATTTCTACAGTTTCACAAACATCTGCTGTTGGCTTTAGACCAAAGGAATACTCAGTCATCCATAGTGTTTCATTTTATGGAATCAATGTGCATTAATAGTTCTACTCCATCAAAGCCCAAAATGGAATGTGCTTTCCAAATCCTTTACAATTAGAAAAGAATGGTAAAAAGGGTAAATTAATTCTGCTTCTATCACCCCAATATAGAGATGATGGTATCCAAATATTTCTGTTCTTCTATTATTTATGCTAAATAGGGTCCCAGTTATCTTAACTGTATGCAAATGACACCAAATTAGATGGTAGAGATACTTTATCAGGCATTTACTTTGGTATATTGAGTGGCAATGAAATTTAATACTCATTAACTAAACTTGCTATAAATGTTTATTCTGTTCCAAAACTAGCTCTATTTGGTTTTCTTATTTCTACTGATGTCGTGTTTACAAACAAATACTTGTAATTGAGGAACAAGGAATTATAAAGTAGAATATCAACTCTAAAGCGAATTTTTTCTAGGGCAAATAGAGAAAGTTCAAGAACTTATGACTTATCCGTTTTTTCGGAAAGGAATTATTCTGGCATTTGAATAGGGAATGATTCATCCTCAATTTTAAGCTCAGAATTTACAGTTATTGATATTTGATAGTCCTCACCATATGTCCAATCAATATCTTCATCTCTTAAATGCCTCAAATCTAATGTAATCAGGGCAAATGAACTTGGATTCAATTCAAAAATAACATTAGGTACATTTGTTAGCAATGCTTCATCTGAAAGCTCCTCCATCTCTTCATAGTCACTGATTAAAGTCATATTTAGAGGACTCCATCTGGTTACGTACTTTCTTTTAAAGTTAATAAATTCTTCCCAAGGACTTGCCTTAGTTTCGTAATCAGGCTAGTCGAAGAAATCTCCTAGAATGTAATCAATTTCGTAAAGATCCTGTAATATTGGATTTTCTCTTGTGTAAATATTTGTTTCAAGTCTTCTTCCATATATTTAGGAAGGGCTACTGAATAGAAGTCTAGAAGTTGTACCACTTGTTGTTCCTGCTTGAAGATCTCTTATATCTATTTCTCCCACAAGAAGTTTGAATTATGCATCAATAGTGCAATTATGTATGTGAGATTTTGTATCTTGACCATCATTACCACTGCCTTATGGGCACCTTGTTGGTGGATCTGATGCATAGGCAGTGTAGTCTGCAGGATCTTCAACAGCTGAGAGTTCCCCTGTTCCACTAGGGCAGAAATAGGTCTGTGGGCAAGTATCACGAGTCTTAGTTGACTCTCCAGTCCCAATACGGCAGAAGAATCCAGCCTCACATTTATTATTGTGTTTAGTAAATGGAGTTGTTTCCTTCGGACAATAGAACCCCTCAGGGCATTACTTAGTTTCTCTAGCTCCTGATCCAGAAGAGCATACCTATCCATCTGTACATGGAATTGAAGATGTAATGTTCCTATAAGCTTCATTTTCGCATATTCTGCCAGGCGGGCATTCCAAGCACTCTAGCTAGTCTCTTATTCCTCTTTCAAAGCTAAACGTTCCTTTAGGACAAGCAGTGCACACATTACTTTCCGTAATTGATCTGTAATATCCAGCATGACAAATGCTTGGAGTTGATGTTCCTTTATCTTTACATTCATACCCATTAGGGCATTAAGAGCATGTTGCTGACTTTGTTCCAAGGGCAAATGTACCAGGCTAGCATTGCTAAGCTTCTACAGCACCAGGAGTTCCAGTATAAAATCCTTCTTCAGCTTCTTAAGGAAATTCAGTTTGAGTTGGACAGAAGAATCCGATTGGACATAAGCCTGTGCCAATAACTGAATCTGATCCTTTCAAGCAATAAGATCCAAGTGGACATGGGAAAGGTGTAGATATCAAGTAGTTATCTGCTTTAAAAGTATAAACTCCTTCCAGACATAAGAATCCTCCAGGGCAAATCTTTTGCATATAATTTGTATACTATAGCTGAAAGTAATTCTTTATCAGATTTCTATGCTTGCTTACAGGTACAGGCAAATTATCTGAATCATTCAAGCCCTGGTTAAATGCAGCTTTATCTACAATTCTCATTCCATCCCATTAATGAACAAACGTTTTACCACTGCCAGTTCCAGTTGAATTGACAATATAGGAATAGCCTTAAAACACCTTGACCATTCCTATATTTTTCCCTATACCAGCTACATAGTTTGAAACTTCAGTTCCATTCATACAACACACAGATATATTGTAAAAGTAGTTATAGAACTTTTCAGCACTTCTATATTTTAGGGATCCTGCCTCAACTAAAACTCCATATTGACAAGGATTTACTCCACCAATTGTATAGGTCATATAGCAACTTCTTCCTTTTACTGATGACGCTGACATAACTCCTCCTAAGCAAATGTGGCCAGCCTTACACAGATTATCAGGTATAATTAGTGCTTCTTTATTGCAAGCATATCCTGGTGGACAAATAAGTGGCAAAAATAGACCCTAAATTGGACAATATCTGCCTAAGGTACACTAAGTGCAGTTCTTTTGTCCATAATGCATGTTGAATGTACCTTTTGGACATTATAAAGGCATTGAATTTCCTCTGTCTGGACAATAATGTCTAGGAGGACATGGTATACCAATATCATTATTGAATGGACAAAAGTATCCAGCAGGGCAAGCACCAACACCTCCAACATCTTCTGATCCTTCATGACAAATCATTCCTTATTTGCAAGGAGAAGGATTACTTGAATTAGAATTGTAAGTGACCACTCCTGTTTTCATGCCAATTCTACAATATGAACCAGGAGTGCATTTGAATGGCAAGCCAAGAAAATAATTTGTGTCCAATATGTCCTCTGACTAAGTTCCATTAAAGCAATAAGATCCTTTTGAGCATTACTAGTCAGGTGAATTTAGCTTTTCCCTTGAGCAGATAAATCCTTCAGGGCATACTATCGGATTCTCCATACCATTAAATGGGCACAAAAACCCTTTAAGACATCCTTTACAGTAAGAAGATTGAGGTTTATCTTAAAAATATCCTATAGGGCAAGGCCTAGGAAGCTATGATTATCCACCTCCTAAGCAAAAATGTCCTTTAGGACATTCGAATAATCTATTATCCCTGCAAGCATAACCTGGAGGACATCTATCTAAGAATTTAATCTGAATATAGCTTGCACTTTAGGTCTTCAACGGTTATAATCCATATGTAATTCTTATATTAACATCAACTGATCCCATATCTTTGTAATCTGGTGTTTAGCAAATCAAAAGATTTGAATTCAGCAATTATCCAGGAATTATATCTCTAGTCGGCACAATGAGTTTATAGTCTGAGTTTATTATTTCAAAAAGGCATTAACTATCTGTCAAAAGATTATTAGCTTCTACATATATAAATTACTGCTTCATATTTGAAAGTATTATCTTAGGCTCTACATTATAAACCTGTATTGAATCAAGAATCTAAAGCTATTCTGAAGCTTTGATATATTGTAGCCCGTTATTGGAAATATAAAGATCATAAAACCCTGAGTCAAGCATGTCAAAGCTGCATAAAATTTAATTATCTTCAATGAATAGTATGTTGAATGCTTTTGCTTAAGTTTTAGAGTTCTATAGAAGGCATGTCAATTCATTGGCAGTATTTATGTAATTTTTACCGAAAACAGTCAATACAATTAGGGACTGACTCTGTGTGATTTCAGTATTCTAAAAATAATCAAGTTCAATAGGAGGATAATAAAACAGACTTAAATCGCCATAGTACTCTTGGAGATTGTAAGATACCCTGAAATCAATTTAAGTATATGCATTTAATATGCCCAAGTAAGTTGGAATATTACATTTGAACTGGTTTGTAGTATTCAATTCAGCCAAAATATTGGTTTAAGAGTACGGATATTTTGAGGTTTTTCCATAAATACAATAAAATGTGCCTTGAGTTGGAAAATTATAGCCATAGACAGTGATTTTCAATTCATTTCCTATTTGAACTTTTGTAATACTCAGAGAAAAAATTCCAAAGAATCTGTAATAAGTCAAGACTACGTTAGAACTTCCTCTTTAGAAGTCTATACCATTATTGCTAACAAAGACAAAGTATGGGCCTTCTTATAAAACATTTGGAGCTTTGAATTGAATTATTCGATTAGATATATATGTTGGAGTTATTATCTTTTCATCAACTCTTATTCTAAGGTTGGGTGTGTTTATAAATCCAAATCCAAAGACTTTAACATCAACATTATTGATTCCAGCATTCATGCTAATATAAGGAGGGTCAAGATAGTTTATTTGAACATCATTGTAGTAGGAGTATGTTAGTCCAGTTGAAGTTTGATATACTCCACCGTTGAATTCCAGCTCAAATAAGAGGTCTTATTCTTCATCATGTCTGGGTGATTCGCAAAGCATGAGTGTCTTATTGATTATAATTGGCTTGATGATAGTTCCATCTAAAAAGCAGTAAGCTTAGTCATCAAATCTTTCACCTCTCACTTCAATCAAAGTACCTCCACTTGTTGGCCCGTAATCTGGGACAATAGATGCTAATTCGGAATATATTTTGTAAGTATAGTAAATTGTTTCATTGTTGTAAATAAGTTTTTCATAGACGAAAGTTATGGTAACATCTTATGGAGTTGCAACTGGTGGGACTATTATTTATATAACAGTTTCACTTTTCAAAATAAAGTTACTAATCAATTGTATTCCAAAGTACAAGTCAAAATGCTTATCCCAAAATAGACTGAAGTTGCCTATGATTTTAACTGAATTTCCTCCAGCAATAAATCCTTCTTAAGGTACAACTTCATTAATTTAGGTCGCATCTTCAAAGTAAAAATAGATATAAGCAAAACGAATGACATAATTATTTGAGATCAATAGATTCATTCTCACTACTTAATTTTTTTCAGAGGGTGGTGCCAAGCATTTTACTTCATTTGGACTAACGATTGTTGCTGGTGCTGTAAGAGGTCCAAATAGGCATTGCGTTATGTCATTGCGAAAGTTAATCCCATAAATTGAGATACTGACATTTCCCTTTAAGTTTGCTCTATAGGAAATAAATTGGGTTATAAACTTACGTATTTTTATTAAGCCTGGTCATTTAAGGCTCATCATAAAAAGTATGGACAATATCTTAGGAAGTCCAGTCAACTCCATCATTCAAACTTAAGTAGAGCTTAATCTTCCTATCTTATTTAAAACGCCAATCTCTGACTGTCGGCATAGATATAATAAGCGTTTTGTCATCAATAAAAAGAATATGCTGTCTAAAATAATGCACTTCTCCTGTTTATGCAACTACCATCTTTAGGATCAGAGAGTGAACATTCAATAAATTAGTTCCGTATATCTTTAATGTCACTTATTAATCAAGGTAACTTTCAGTAGGAGATATTCCAGTTAATTGGTAGTCTTTAATGTAAGTGAAAACAGCTTGCTGCTATCTCCTATAGATTCCATCTAAATCATTTACTGCGATAAAAATGTCTTTATAAAATTCTGTCAAGTCATTGAAGTATGAGTTCACATTTGGGGAAAAGCATTTGATATGTGTTTAGTTAAGGATTAATGCTCCAACAGTGAATTAAGTTCCAGTTTGGAAAAAGTCAAATGAAAATAAGCAAGATGGTGTATATGTACTAGATATAGAAGAATTGGGAAGGTGATCCACTTTTAAAATAATAGGAGTACCTCCCATTTTTGTTCCTCTAAGTGGGAATATTTTCAATATATCAATGTAGTCTAAATATGTAAATGGCATTTGAAATTTAACTATTTTTAGTCCTTACTAGAACAAGAATATTGAGATTTAGTTAGTGTAATTCTGGATTGAAACTGGCAATTAGCATGTTAAGGAAATAGATGATACATAAATAGCGTTGACATTATAGCTTAGATCTTCTTATTTAATTGTTGCTTAAGACCCAGTTTGATATGGAGCAAAGTAGCATTAATATAATTGGGAGTTTAAGAAATTTTTTCCAGTTATTGTTATAGTCGTAGGATTTTTTAAAAGAGTTTAAGTAGGTGAATATGAATATGCTAAGGGTAGTCTTGTTGAACTCACAGTAGCAAGACAATTAGAAGTAAAATTCCTACCATTATTAATACTCACCTCAAGACACCTTGGCTAAATGTCGTAGTAGTTGTAGAATGTGCATTGAAGGACGCTATCAGATATCCAGGTACTATTAATTTTTACATCCAGTTAATATCCTCCTAATTTACAAATAGTACTACTTTAGAACTTTTACTTGTACAAGTTCAAATACATTTAATTGCTTGAAGGTGTAAAGGTAACTTTATACTAATTGATAAATGTTGGTGATTCTTTATTAAAGGATATTGCAGCCACATAGGATGTTTAACTAATCGATTATATGACTGGCTTGGGCAGAATTACTATTTGAAGTATATTTTCATCGCTTAATTAAAATCCAGTCGGAACTTCATTTAATGATACCAAATAATCTCCATATTATGCAAAGGAAGATGGAAGCTAACATTAAATATAGGAAGAACTAATTTTTATACAAGCGCCACTATAAGTAATGATTGAGTTATCAAGAACAAATCTTAGCTTTGCTCTTATGTCAAACTAAGTATTATTTAGAAAAAATCCAGAAATTCCAATCATAGCATTAGGATGATATATTTCTTGAAATTGCTAAGATTAGAAATAGTCATATTAAAATGTAAGTGTATGATCAAATTTTTCTGTATCAACTATTGCAACTAGGTGAGATTGAATGAATACAGGATGAATATTCTTATCAAGGATTTTAGAGGATTTGTCATAAAAATAATCTTGCACATTTGTTATCCCCTCTATTTAAATCTAGTTTATGATTGTGTAGAAATGCAGAATATCAGAGAAGGCGCATTTTAGTTTTTTATTTATAGAGAGAACTGAAGCCGGAAGAGAATCATATTTAATCTTGAAAGGAAAATTTAAGTCATCTGAGAAATAGTATATGAAGCAAAGCCATGATGTGGACCAGTTATTCAGATAATATCCCATTAACTAAGTATCAATGAGATAGTTGTTTGTGTTTAGTTGTTAAGACTAAATAACTGATATTGTTGGTATATGGGAAATCTTAATTGATTTTTAGCAAGTAGAAGTTTAAAAATTTGGCTCAATAATTTTGAATTCTAAACAGTATGTAGCTTCCTTGATAATTTCTTTTTTGAAAAAACATTCAATTTGATTAAGGTCTTTGTTAATTAGGTGGTCATCCGATATAATATTCAAGTAATCATGACTATTAAACTATGTTGTGAGAACACATCTAATCCTCTAAAGAAATAACTGATCGGAATTTAAATTAGAGATCGATACAATAATTTAATTCATCCATGGCCCTGTAAGTAATTGAGTCTTATCAACACTAGTAATAGTAATGGCTTAAAGATAAGATTTCATAGAGTTATTGAAAACAGTTTGAAATGCTATTTCTTTGGTTTCTTGAGCTTATTTAAGTTGTTGGTAATTGTAGTTAGGTTAAGGATGCAGAGCATTAAAGTCAATTGCAGGTAAATTGTTTCTTACTAGATTAAGTGTAATACCAGAAATCGAAACATTTAATTGCTAAAAATAGTCTGGATCAAGAGTAATGTCAACTTTTATTTACCTATTATCATATATTTATGAAGGTAAGGGACATTTAAGAGATTGATCAGATTTATATATTGCTGGAATCACCAATTTTTTAATAAAGTTTCCTTAGTAAATACAGTAAAGTTTGTTATTGTTAATGAAATGGTCTCCAGTTATAAGTAATTCTTCATCTACAAGTTACATAAGTTAGGACGCAGGATTTATAGATAATATCTTCAAATAATGGTAGTATCTAAAATTTTGTGGAACTGCGAACTAGAATATATCATTGATTTTTATCCACAATCTGGCTTATGATTTTGAGTAGTCTAGGTTGTATTAAATTTCACATCTGAGGAACATTTACTCTTTTTTAAAATAGCACTGCTGCTCACCAATATTCTCGTATACTAATTTTATAGTGGTTAATTACTGGAAAATTTCATCATTTAAGAATATTTCTTGGAAAGATTATTCAGAAATCACCAAGTCAGTAACATAGTTTGCAGTTGAGAAAGAAAATGGAAATTCTTTAAGTGATAAGTTATCTATTTTAAAATCTGTTAAAAAGCAAAGAGTACTCATTTTTATATGAGATCTAGCTACAGCTTAGAAAGTTCTTCCAAGAGAATCTTTTATTTTTATAAGACCACATTTCCCATTCATGTTAGTTTAAAGTGGTAAATCAAATGTCCATGTAAGCTCAGTAGTTGAAATGAAAATAGCTTTTGAATAGAAAAGTTAGTCCTAGGTATTAAATTAAAGAGTTACATAATACTCTAGGTTACTTTTGAAATACATTCCTCTTATTATTAAGACTTGTCCAAAAGAAACTAAATTTTTATCAAGCGATTGAACAACTACTGGTGTTTCCAATATCAATGGTTATTACAGCTGAATTTGAGTGGTCTAAGGCTAAACATAGTTAGCTTAAATGAATTAAGCAACATCTAAAATTAATCCAGTTTTCAAGAGCTGTGAAATGTCCTCATTAGGTATAATATAGACCTAATATTTTCCTTATTTCGGCAATATTAAATCGTAGCAAGTGGCTAATGAAATATCAGATAAAGTTTTATTGCAATAAAAAACTAATTCTAGAGCCCTTGCTTATTTCACTTTGATTGCTAGCTTATTTAGGTTCTCAAGGAAAGTACCTTGCACTATTATATCAGTCTTTGTATTTGAATATATTTAGATTGGGCTTATCAATGTCTTGATGTAAGGTAAGTTTCTCACAATATTCAATTGAATAGGATTACTCTCTGTTTCTCCATAATCGTTAGAAATAGTCAAAGTAATTTGCTGATTCATTTCTTTTAAACTTACGATTGAGCAATATATTTTACCATTATTATCGTACATAGCTTTGACGGTTTGATTATGAAATTGAGATTCAAATTGGCACTAGAGCGCAAATGAATTTATAAAGTGTTATCCATAAATAGTTATCTGTTGTATTAGAGCAAGATTATAGACATATGCAGGAAAAATTCTAGTAATCACTGGCTTTGGCACTAGTTTGACCTTCAATGCATTATTTGTTATTTTTTCCTTCTAAATGTCAATATAGGAAGTGTAAAGTTTGGGGGTTCTGACAATATGAATAATCAAATCAAGGAAATCTCCTTCATTAGCATTCTTTAATTCACCCACTTTGGGAATTTAGCATTCAATCTAAGATGCATCAGCTAGATAATTATAATGAATTGTTTCCAGACTAGACTCAGTCACAAGGTTTTAATGATTATTGTTTTCATAGAAGCTACAAATAAACTCAACATTATATAGATCATTAGAATCTTCTCTTAATATTTAGGACCTGGATGTATAGATTTTTAAATTTGTGTTTGATTATTAAGTATTTTAGGTGAAGAAAGTGGGCTCGGAATATAATTGGTTAAGTTGCAAACTAGATTATATCTAGAATATGTGGCCTTTTATAGTTGTAAATTAAATCTCTTTGTTAGATAGATGTAGTCCCATCCTAAAGTAGACATTATTAAGCCCATTAATATTGCTAGATATGAACAATTGTTATTTAATGTCGATGCTGCATCTTATAACACTATCTGTAATTACTTTTGCTTTTAATCCTTTTGTTTAAAGTATTTGTCTGCCTTATGATTAAAACTACAGAATACAGTACAATAGAGGCTCATTAGATTTAAGTTCATCATATCCTCTTCCTATCATCATTATATTTTTATCAAGTGTGCTAGATTTTAAGAAGTATCTAGGATAGAGGTCTGTTAACCATGGATTAGGAATAACTTCAAATGTGATTATTTCGAATATTTGGGAATCATAAAGCTCATCAATTGAAAACTAAATTTTAAAAGTCCCTTTGTTTAATGAAAATGGCTTAATATAGATATTTATTGCATCTAGTCTATTACTAATAAAATTGCAAGGAGTTTCAAACAGTATCTAGGTATCATCATCTTGCTTATAAAATTTGCAATTTAACTTTATGGATTGATAATTTTCAAAAGCTATCTTGGATTATTGGGCTACTATTTGAATAGATTCTTTCTAGTTAGTAAATAACCTAAAATGCTGAGGCTCTATTTTTGGGGCTGGATTAAAGAATTATGATTAAATGAAGTAAACTTATTAGTTACTTTTCCAAATATTATCATTATTGTCAAAGTTAGCATCTAATTGGGAGATATCATCGATATTATTTCCAATTGAAATTTGGGAATTAATCATTTATGTTTTAAGTTGAATGCTACACCAATAAAGTTCTTAATTTGGTAATTTTATCACCTTTCCCCAACTGCTATCTTTAAGGAAGCAATATGTTTTATCTTAGACAAAATTACTCATTGTAAAAGAAATGTTAGCATTATGATAGCTCTGCAAAATAAATTTGCCTCTAGTTACAGAAATTAATTAAGGTTTTAAGACTAATTATAGATTGACATCATCAATTATAGTTTGTTATATGATTTTGCTATAAGAAATCTGGAACCTTACCTTGATATGTTAAAAAGCATAAACTAGAGAATTCTCAACGATGCTTGAGTTTTTTAAGAGATCCAATTTACAAGAATATTGCTCCTAGGTAAGCTATTAAGCAATACCTTTTGAAATTATCCTATTATTACCCTCTTATATCATACAAATTAACTTTAAGTCATCTAATTGTGGTATGCGCTTTTTAATTTTATCAAATAGAGGAAAATCTGTGTTTGAAAAAGTAAGATTTAAAGTACCATTGAATGCTATCGCGACTAATCTATTTTGTGGTTATATTTATTCTAATTTATAGTCAGTCAAAGCTTATCTAATTGCTATCAAATAAAGAAAACTTTTAGAGTCTTTGAAATTAATCATTAATGAAACTTTGTACAGACCACTTGCAATTCCTGGGTCAATTTTAAAGGTAGCGTGAGTAGAATTATGAATAGTAAAGGGTTCAATCTGAAAATAATCTTGATATTTAACATTATTTTTTATTTATGTCGCTGCTATTCTAACTAGTACAAGTCTTACTGAAATATCTTCACTTGGAAAAGAATCAGCTTATACTAGTATAAAATTTTCTCTTCTGGTAAAAATAAGATGAGTTGAGATCGAGTTTATTTCATGAATCATTCTTGATTGAGAGAGCTCTGATATACTTTGAATAATAGAAGATGTAAACTAATCTGGTAAAGTTGTTTGAATAGGAATAAATTTAAAGAATTCCCCATACACTCCATTCAATCTTGCCTAAAAATGTTTTATATCTGGATATTCATTCATTATGCTAGTTATTCTACCAAAATGAGGCACTTAATTGAGGAATTTTCCAAATTAGGATGTATCAAAGATAGAGTTTATTCTTCTTTCATTTAATTAATTCATTGCAATAGACTCTTTTTCATTTAAAGCTACATTATGAGGAGAAATATTTTTGCGATCAATGGTATATTATTAGCCAAGCATATCAAAGTTTATGTTTCTGTGCTTATCTTACAAATTCTCTAATAACTATTATGAAATAGTATCAATTGTTAAATTTTTTTCGAAACTAGTGTTATTTAAGTTTGTATTATCATTTAAGTTGAACTCTTCCCTTTAGATAGTTTAGTTTCCTTAAATCAAATAGTTTATTATGGGAAATTATTCATCAGTTTAACTTTCCGGATTAACTTAATCTAATTAACTTTTAATCGAGTTAAGAATTGAAATGTATGATTGTTTACTTGAGAGTGTAAATTTAAGAATACCGATCAAAGTCAATTAATAAACATCAAATTTATATCCTTATAATATCTACTCGGCCTTTAAATAATTTCCTGTCACATGAGCCAAGAAATGCTAGTTTATGCCAAATATTTAAATAACTTAGATATTGACATAAGAATAGCCTTTGTATTTTACATAGCATGCTACTGTATCAAAATCAATATCAGACCTTACAAGATGAGTTATATTGGAATATGAAAAATGGCAGTAAATGGAGGAGTGAAATTGCCTCACTATTTATCTATCAAACATGAAGTTAATTTGAGTTGTTTAATTACTCAAAGCAAAGGCAGTAATATTCTGAATTAACAAATTTTCAGTCACAGATAATTTAATCTCTTAATAGTTTCCGTTTATTGAATTAGCGAAAATACAGACAACTATTTTATGATTGAGAATATGTTGCTCATCAAGCTTAATTACAACTGCAGAATCATTTAAGAAAGCGATATTGAATGGATCAAGCGTTCTATTATTACACTGAACTAAAAACATCTCAGAATTAATAATCAAGTTAGAAAATTTCAATTTGATATGGTTTATTTGATTCCTGACTAATATATCTGGACCATAGCTATTCAAAACCAATGATTTGGCAAACTTAACAGTTGACTCTAAATGAACGACTTTTATAAAATCAATGATCTGTATTTCAAATTGCAGTGCTGTTTAATTTCTTAGAAGCTGATGTATCATTATTAATTCTTATTGCTGAAAATTGCAAGAATATTTTTAGAGATGATATTACTCAATTTTAAGAGGATTCAAAAGAGTATATTAAAAATCAGATGCTGCTAATTTAACTCTGCAATAATAGTTTTAATGATTACTGTGATCAAAATTCTTTGTTAATGTAAAGTCTAGTTTTACATCAAGCATTTATTCAATAATTTAATGTGATTAATACATAATTTGAATTCTTTGAGGTATAATCGGCAAAGAGTTTTAAAGATAAGTCAGATCTTAAGGATTTTATGAGATATTCTATTTTTGATTTAAGTCATACACGATTTTACTTTCATTATATGCAAAACTATGACTGAATGAATCAAGCACCTTGATTCTAAAAGTAAGGTTGAAAGTTTGAAGATTTATTTGACCTTATTTGAATTTATCTCTAAGTATAATCATTGTAACATTTTGGCTTTTGTAGCCTATATTTGGAATCTCACATATTGCTGTTGTTAAATTTATGATTGAAAGTCTAGTAGACTGATATCCTTAAAAAAGACAATCTGATTAAATACCAAATTAAATATCATTTGAAAAGTCTCCATTTAAAATCACCTGAAAATCACTGAAATAATCAATTTATAAGTTTTAAGGTATCACTTATTAAGCAAAATTGTCTGATTTAATGATAAACATAGTCACTGCATTAGAATGATTGCCATTTAAAATAAACTTTAACTATGCTGAAATAATTGAGTTCTCAATGAAATAATCACCAGATGGGAATGTAAAGTAGCAATAAATGGTTTAATTATCAATAAATGTGTATCTTGAATAAATGGGATCAGATGAGAATTTCATTTCACAATAAGATTTGTCCTGTAGATAGTTTTAATAATTTTCAATAATGTCATCTTGGATTTAAATCCTGATTAAATACTAAAAGCCTTTTTCATTAAAAAATATAGCTTTTGGATCAATATTTTTTATCTAGTTATTAAAACTTTTATTCT